GGTTTAGCTGATTCCAAAACCTCCGTCTTCAACTCCGATGGGAGTGTTGCAATCCACGCTGGTAGGTTCTAACTCTTGTCAGCATTTTGACTTCGTCTTTGATTTTGTGAGATTGATACTATTATCTATATGGTTTTTTTAAAATCATTTTTATGATTTGTTATGATTATTGACAACACTTCTATGGGTACTGATTTCAGGCGAAAGATTTGGTCGTGGTAGAGTTGACGACGCTATCACGACGCCGGTGGTTAATACTTCCGCTTATTTCTTTAAGAAAACTGCTGATCTCCTTGATTTTAAGGTATGTTTTACCATTCCATGTTGATTCAGAACAGTTGAGTTTAAGTTAGCAGAGGATTATTTGCTTCTCAGACATCAAAATTGGAACAAAAAAACCACACACACACACAAAAAAAAAAAGGGAAAAACATAAGATTATCGTGGATATGAGACATTTGAGTATCATTGGAGTAACACGTATTGGATCTCTGGCAGGAGAAGCGCAGTGTGAGTTTCGAGTATGGGCGTTATGGAAATCCAACGACAGTTGTAGCAGAGGAGAAGATAAGGTTTTGTTTCGTTCCTAATCCTTACCAATTAGCCATTAGCCATGTTTGGTTCAAATTGAATTGAAGTTTATTTTTTTTTTCTGTACCAGTGCTTTAGAAGGGGCTGAATCTACGGTGATAATGGCATCGGGAATGTGTACTAGCACAATTTTGTTGATGGCTTTGGTCCCAGCCGGAGGGCATATTGTAACAACTACAGATTGTTATAGGAAGACTAGGATTTTTATCGAGACCATTCTTCCCAAAATGGGAATCACGGTATGGCTTTCCCTCGTTTCTGTTTAACTTGATTTGTGTTGTTAGGGGAAATTGTATTTGGACCTTTTTTGCATGTATACCATTAACTTTGAATAGATATTGACAGACTAAATTTTGTTTTCGTTCGAAGTAGTATGAGTGCTTATTTTTCTACTTGAAAAGTAAAAACTTATTTTCAAAATCTTAAGACTAATAGAAGTGGAACTGACATTAGTGGAAAAAGAAAGTAAGAAACTATATATATTGCCGCCCTCTGCAGATAAACAAGTGTGTACAGACAAGATACCTATAGGTTCCAAGAATTGAGTAAAATAAACTTGCAGCTTTATCTCATTGGGGCTAGTCTATTTGGCGTTGTTCCCTCTTGGCTGCTTGAATCCAGCAGCCTTAGTTTTCATTTTAATCCCTTTACTTATGAAAATAGAAAAAAAAAAAAAAAAAAGAGAGAATGCTACTTCTAGTCTTTTCTTTAATATTTATAGGAGGCAATTATAAAGTTCGATAGGGATACAGAACTAACAATTATAAAGTTTCCACTGGATGTGTTCTATTATAAAGTTTCCACTGGATGTGTTTGATTCTGTTAATGTTCTTCTTGTTTATTTTTACGAATTACATAAGATCTGTATTTTTATTATTGCTGTCTATATGGGGTGTCTGTTTCTCATCTTTAAAAGAAGATTGGATGGGATTAGTTTTTAAGGGCTTATGGTGGTTTGTTGAAAGCCTCTTTTCTTTGAGCCATTTATTCAGGTCTAAGTTATATATATTATTTGGACATGTTATCAAATTTTGTGTTAGTTGCTTGTTAACTATAACTAAACTTGGAATGCAGGCTACCACCATTGACCCTGCGGATATGAACGCCCTTGAAGTTGCTCTGAAAGAGAATAATGTGTGACCATCAATCTTTTTTCCTTTTTGGTTTTTTTCAATGTTTCGTGTTAGCTCTTAATAGAAATTGATGTTACCTGTCTCTTCATTTGATTCAGGTTTCTCTTTTCTTCACTGAGTCTCCAACAAATCCATTCTTAAGATGTGTTGACATTAAACTGGTTTCTGAGCTCTGTCATAGACACGGAGCACTGGTTTGTATAGATGGTACCTTTGCTACTCCTCTAAACCAGAAGGCACTTTCGTTGGGGGCTGATCTTATTCTTCACTCCGCAACGAAGTACATTGGGGGCCACAATGATGTAAGCCTGATTTTGATGGTTTTGGCTGTAATTGCTTATTTGAATAATCTGGATTCAAACTATTAATTGGTTAAGAATTTTGTTAGAATTTTTCCTTAAAAGAGGAATTTACCAAGAATTTTCTTTTAGGTCCTTGCTGGTTGTGTCAGTGGTTCTCTGAAACTGATTTCAGAAATTCGAAATCTTCATCATGTCATGGGCGGTGCACTAAATCCTGTGAGTCATTCTCTCATGTTATCTTAATTTCAATCATTTGTTTGTGCCAAGCCTTACCTTCCATGATAATTAATATCAAATTTCTTTGTCCAACAGAACGCGGCATATCTAATCATACGTGGGATGAAAACATTGCATCTTCGCGTGCAGCAACAAAATTCCACGGCTTTGAGGATGGCTAATGTATTAGAGGGTCATCCTAAGGTAGGCATACACATTTCACTTATCAAGCTGCAATCGAAATCCTTTTATTAGAAGGAAAAACACAACTAAATCATATTAAGGACGCTAAATTTTACCTAATAATAATAGACCAAGGCAAGGCAAAGGGATAAAAATAAGTTTCATTACTGAAATTGTAGTTCTAAAGGTGCTTGGCGCACCTCATGGCAAAGCAGTTAGTATTTTCCTCAAGGCTGATGAAGCACCTTCAAACTGAGTTTAACTCCTTGTTAGTTGATCATTGATGAGATGACTGACATGACTTTTACATTGTAAGATATGACGAAATTACTTTGCAATTTGATTTGCAGATCAAACATGTTTATTACCCTGGACTCCCAAGTCATCCTGAACATAACCTTGCCAAAAGGCAGATGACTGGTTTCGGGGGCGTAGTTAGTTTCGAGGTTAGAAAACGACGACCCATCTCTTCATTTCAAGGATCTAATCCCCTATACCCCACCCGACCGGGGTTGATTCATCAATTTGTTGTGATTCTGGTGCAGGTTGATGGTGATTTAAAGAGCACCATAAAATTCATTGACTCACTTAAAATTCCATACATTGCTCCATCCTTTGGTGGGTGCGAGAGTATCATAGACCAGCCAGCAATAATGTCATATTGGTAAATCTCCAGTCCTTAGTAAAAGTAGGAGAATATTTATTTATAATTATGTTGGTGGTGGAATGAATTCTTTTTCTTTTTTCTGTCTTTTTTTTTGGGTTATGGAAATGAATCAGGGATCTTAACGAGGCAGAGAGGCTGAAGTATGGCATTAAGGACAACTTGGTGCGCTTCAGCATTGGAATTGAAGACTTTGAGGATTTGAAGGCTGATGTTCTTCAGGCTCTTGATGCCATTTAAAGCCAGCCCTACCCATCTTGATGTCATTTTGCTTGGTTTTAAGTGTTGTTGGTATATCAATTGAATTCTGATTCGCCAATTCTTGGCTCGTACCTTTAACGATCTCGATCCGATTGAAACAATGGAGCCTCTTCGGCATATGTATGGTAACACCCCCTTCCCCAAGGAAAAAAAGGACCCCATGGACATCATTTATGTTGTGTTCTTTTTATTAACCAATTCATCAAGGGTGAAATATCTTTTTCCTTCTATTGATGCTGTGTTTGGGTAATCTCGTTTTTGGTTTCTGTGTTTTAAAATTAGGGATAACTACACACTGGAGAAATCCCAATGACATCAATTTCCACAGAAAAAGAAAGAAAAAAAAGGTCTAAGAATTTCACGAAATATATATATATATATATATATATATATATATATTTTGAAATCTATGTATTCGGGTCAGTTTGCGCGCATCTCGAATCAATTGTCTGACTCTACTACATTTTATTGATAATTCATATTTATTGGATCATCTTTCAATTTTTTTTTGAAATAAAATATTTTGTTAATGAAAAAGGTGAAGATATGCCTTCCAAAAGTAAAACTATAACCTCTCATATCTCATGGCATGGGGTCCTTTTTTTAGATTTACTGAAATTAAAATGACATTCTTCCATTGCAAAGAAGAGTTCTTTAATTTTGGAGTAGTCATTAGTCCTAGTTCTACTCCCGTAAGTTTTACAAGTTTTTATCACTATTAATGTTTAGCTCATCCAAAAATTCGTTTTGGATTACTTCCTCTCGAATTTCTTATTAATCAAACTTTTTCTTTTTTGAAAATATGGAATGTTATTTTAGCTTCACGCTTTAGGGTTTTACTATTGGGATATTTCTAAAGTTTATTTAAATTTGAAGGCATAAATAAGATATGTTCGTTTTTCTTAAAACTTTATTCTAACCTTTTCAAATAGTCCCTATAGAGTAGATTACTTCATTGTCCCAAGTTACTTTTAAATAAAGTTGAGGCTTTCATTCTTTCTTTGTTTTCTAGTTTGTCTTCCTCCTTGACTCGCTCAGGTTCTTCCTCCCTCACTTACTCTCTCCTCCAGAACAGTGGATGCGAAACGAAAATACTCCACCCCTCGTCGACGGTCTTTTCCCTCACGTCTTGCCAAGTTTTAGTTCGAATTCGAGGGCGATTCAAATATTTTATTTTTCCTTTCGACTTGTTTAAACAAATCGACATTGAATGATGAAAAAAAGAAAAAAAAAACACGGAATGATGGAAAAAAAAGCAAAAAAAAGAAAAAAGGAAAAAACAATAAGAGAGGAAGGGCATAGAATCCAAACAACAATATCAATATTGATATAATCCTATTCTAGCCTAGCGATACCAAGATTTTACTGTTCCTATGAAACTAGGAGTCTCGAGCAAATATCGATAGAATACAATCTTAGCGATACCGATATAATTATATCGAGGGATATTGAGTGAATAATTGTATTGAGCGATATCGAGAGCAATACCAGTTCTTGTATTGAGAGAAAAATCAAGTTGATTATGAAACAAAAAGTTTGTAGAATACAATAAAGTGAGAGTGAGAGAGATTTGAACCATAAAAGACTACTTTCATCCTTTACCCTCAAATGACAAATGTTTTACTTAGGCCCTAATCTTTTAGTGAGACCTATCATCATTAAATTTATAGAATGTACTCAACAAAATCTCATGTATGTTAACTGATTACAATTAAACCCTTAAATTATTTCAAACCATTTAACTACAAGGATGTACAATCGAATCCCCCAAACTGATATGATTGTTGCAATTTCACTTTTTTTTAAAACAAATTTATAAAATTTTAATACTATAATATTACCCATAAAGAGATTTTGTTTTCAAATTGATGTTGAATACTCTTCTCAAAAAAAAAAAAAAATTGATGTTGAATACTAAGAAAACAAAAAACAATTCTACAATTTCGAGGATTTAATTATAACAATATTTGTTAATTATTAGTGCTTTGTGCATCTTGAAATATTTTAGGATTTAATTCAATAATTTAGTAAATTTATTAGGATGATAGATGATGTGATTGTAAAAAAAGGGGGGGGGGGGGTTCCAAAGTAGTTTTTTTTAACAATTTTCTCAAATATTTTGGAAAACTAAACACCAAAGATTTGTTAATTACTAAAAGAAAATATAATGAAAAGGGTTAATGCAATTACTTAAGAAAAGTTCAGAAATAAAATATAGAACACATCTTATTAAAAAGATTAAAACAAAATAAGTCTGGATGTTCCAAACTAAAATTTAAACCAATTTGAAATTTCAGATTCCAAAATGAGAGAGAAAAAGATATCAGTTCTTTGTTGGCCACTGTCCTGTTCATATCCAATGTTGTTTACAATCTTAAAACTTGACAGGTAAATAATAAAGTGGTTTGAGAGAAGTGGAAAAAAAGAGGTAGACATGTCAACGAAAATTTAATACCTCCTTTTGTTCCCGTATTCGAGAGAATATGGGTCCAAATTAAAGGTCACAAAGGGTAGATCCGGCATTCTTTTAATGAATGTTGGTGTGAGTTTTGGGGAAAAGAGAGGGTTGAGAATATATCCAAACATTATAATAATAAACTTCATTAAAGTAACAGAAGTTCAAAGTACAAGAAGTAAGATGACAACAACAACAAGGGATTTGGTTTTTGTAATGTCCGAAAAACATCAGACAAAACCACAAAACAAACGAACAAACAAACATTGAGCAGTGGATCACAATGAAACAGACAATGAAACAGACAGCAGGATCATGGAAATAGTTGGAAAATAGGCGGCGTTCCAACATTTTATTTAGTAGCAGCTACCTCAGAACGCCGACCAAATGCCATCCAATGGATCTCACTCATCGTCATAGTTCCTGCGGTGGTGGCGACGGCTGTGCTTTTCCTCCTCATCAGAATCCCCACCCTGCCATTACAACACATCACACAAATCTTTCACAATACCATCCATTCTTCTATACACTACACTTATGTTTGTCTTCATGTTTTAGAGTTTATCAGTTCGTCCCGATATTAAAATTTGCACGAGACCCAATAAGAAGGAAATGGAAAAAAATGGCGATGCAGATGTATCTGACATAAGACCCCTCTGCACATTTAATGAAGACCTTAGATTATGTGATGTGGGATCCTTAACATGGTGGCTCTATTGAACTAGCCAATGATCCTATTGCTTGATTACCATTCTAAATAATAGGTAAAAGTAGCCCATGTATTTATAAACTCTGTTAAATTCTTTAGTCTAAATTTTCTACCAAGCTTTTAGACATTTTGGTGACAATTACATTCGCAAGCGATCGAATTGAGACTTCATAGGCAATAGAAATAGCAGTGCAATTGAAAAGACATAACACAACACATATTCAGCATAAGAAAAAAGTGAGAATGAGAATGAGAATGGAGTTGGTTTGTTCTTACATATTTCTTCCGGCCATAGCCCTCTTCCCCACCGTAGCCATATCGACGCTCATCATCATCGTCCCGCCGCTCGTAGT